GGGGGGGGGGGGGGGGGGGGGGGGGGGGGGGGGGGGGGGGGGGGGGGACGGTCCAGGTTGAGGGGGCGGGGGGGCAAAGCTGAACGAGATCGGAAAGTGTAGCAGAGGCCCTCAGGGGGGCCTGGAGCCGCCACGAGGCAATGCTCCTGGGGAAACTTGATGTGGAGAACAAAGGCAAAAGAAATGCAGAAAAAATGAAACGTCCTTCCAACTTGCAGCCCGTCGACAAGTCCTTGAGACAGGCAGAGTGACCTTCCTCTAGGAGCTCAGCTGTCTCCGTGTGAATACTTTGCTAGAGGCGAAAGGCAACCTTAGCTTGACATATGCCTGACCTCCAGGATCCTGTAAATCTCCTTGAACTTATAAAAATTCCTTTGGAAACTTCCTTTATCTCCACCCCCAAGATAATATGTTAGCAATCATCCTCCAAGCATATGGCCCCCGATATACATCTGAAGGGTCACATGACTGAGGTTTTAGTAATAAATGGCCTTTTCCTAACAGCAGCTAGCCCCTCGAAGGTTCTGGAAACCTTGCTCCCAAGTTCCTTAGAGACTTAGACCCTCCAGAACCCCCTCCCAACTTAAAAGTATATAATCACTCGCTCTTCACAACCCCAGTGCAGCTCTTTCTGCCCACGGGTCCTGTCCCCGTGCTTTAATAAAACCACCTTTTTTGCACTGAAGTCGTCTCAGGACTTCTTTCTTCACCATTCGCTCCTGGACCCCAACAGTTCACATCAAAATTGACCTTGCTTGGGGCGCCTGGGTGGCTCAGTCGGTTGAGCTTCTGACCCCGGCTCAGGTCATGATCTCCCGGTTTGTGAGTTCCATCCCCTTGGTGAGCTCTGCGCTGACAGCTTAGAGCCTGGAACCTGCTTCGGGTTCTGGGTCTCCCTCTCTCTCTGCCCCTCCCCGCTCGCAGTCTGTCTCTCAATCTCTTTCAAAAGGTAAATAAACATTTAGAAACATGTTCAGGTGGCCTTCCTTCATGCAGCTCCCGGGTAGGAACTCAGGACTGTTGTGGCAGGTGCCTCAGCACCGCTCAGGGGACCAGCTTCTCCACAACACTCAGGCAGCAGAGGGGTACCAGGGCTGGGGAGATCCAAAAAGCCCCCAGAAGATTAGCCACGGCTTCCCACACCTAGCGCGATCATCCCCCCCCTTTAATCCCGGGGGGGGGGGAGGGACTTCGCCCCACCCCACCACCACCGGTTGCACAGTCCGGGACTATTCTGTGCTACTTCTGGCTTTAGGCAAAGGCCTCTATAGATTCCCTCGCTGTGGGGGATTTAAAGAAACTCCACATCCACTTCCCCGCCCTCCTGGCAGCCTTCAATCTCCCCAACGGAGAGGGGAGGGATGGGGTTGCTGCGGGCACCCAGTGGGTGGAGGCCAGGGAGGCTGGTCAACGTCGTGGTATGGTACACAGGACACGGGACAGGACACGGGACAGAGCCCCCAAGGAAGGATGATCCGGCCCCAAATGTCAATAGTGCCGAGGGTGAGAAACCCCAATTTAAAGAGCTCCTCGTCTGCAAGGACCCTTAAAGTTTTGCTAAAATCCACTTAAGGATTATTTATAAGTTGAGGTTTACACCCAAAGACCATCTCAGGCTAGAAGGTGAAGAATGGTAGGATTTATAAAATTCCCCCAGATGGCGCTCTAACACAAGGGAAAAATCCAACCCGCCGCCTGCATTTCAGAATCCAGTCTCTCTCCCTGGTCAGCCCTCTGGGGTAACACTGCCCATCCTTTTCAAATCGGAGCCTCACTTTTTAGGTACGCGGTGTTTCCCACCACCAATATTTTTATGCAAGTGAATTAAAATGAATGATGACTGGGGCTTCTGGGTGGCTCGGTCGGTTAAGCGTCCCTTTTGATTTCGGCACAGGTGATTTACAGTTCGTGAGAGCGAACCCCCC